CTTAGCAGTGCCATTAAGTAAACTCCTGTAAGGGCCCTGCTGCTGCCCCGGCTGTGGAGGATTTGGGCAGATTATGCTGTAATAGCCACCTTGGGGGCCTGGCGCTTGTAACTAATCCAGCTTTTCCTATCCCAGCGAGGAGCTGTTGCCTCAAGTGCAGGGTAGAGTTGAGCAGGAGAGACAGGCCAGCAGTGGAACAGGGGAGGGGGCGAAGTCGCAGAGGCCTTTGGGGAAGGGAAGCGACACAGACAGGTCCTCGAGAAGGGGGCTAGAACAGCCTCCCCTCCCCTGGTCTGGCAGGCCGGGGGGGGCGTTAGTGCTGGGAGCCGTCGGACCCATGTGGAGCCCTGGAAATCCCGTGGCTGGGGAAGCCACCTGGCGAGAGGCTGATGGGGGGGTAAAGCCTTGCCCTTGAGGCTCACAGGCAGCGTTCCCGCTAATTCGTCCCACTCATGTGTGCAATGAATTTTGTTATGTGTGACACATCACCTTCATCTTGGGGCACATAAAATCCATGGGGTGGGGGTGAGGCTGAGGGGTTTGGAGTGCGGGAGGGGTTCAGGGCTGGGGCAGAGGGTTGGGGTGTATGGGGGGGTGAGGGCTCCGGCTGGGGGTGCAGGCTCTGGGGTGGGGCTGGGGATGAGGGGTGCGGGAGGGGTTCAGGGCTGGGGCAGAGGGTTGGGGTGTATGGGGGGGTGAGGGCTCCGGCTGGGGGTGCAGGCTCTGGGGTGGGGCTGGGGATGAGGGGTGCGGGAGGGGTTCAGGGCTGGGGCAGAGGGTTGGGGTGTATGGGGGGGTGAGGGCTCCGGCTGGGGGTGCAGGCTCTGGGGTAGGGGCAGGGATGAGGGGTGCGGGAGGGGTTCAGGGCTGGCGCAGAGGGTTGGGGTATATGGGGGGGTGAGGGCTCCGGCTGGGGGTGCAGGCTCTGGGGTGGGGCTGGGGATGAGGGGTTTAGGGTGCAGGCTGCCCCAGGGCTATGGCAGGAAGGGAGGACTCCCCCCAGCTCTCTCCCCCCGCAGCAGCACCTGGGCTGGTAGGGAGAGGTGCCTGTGCCCACTGCGGAAGCTCTGGGGCTGGGACCGCAGGATAGACGCCTCTCCCCGGCCGTGGCAGGTCTGGGGCCAGGGCTGGGTTGGGGCCAGGGGAGGGCGCCTCTCCCCCGGCCGTGGCAGGTCTGGGGCCGGGGCTGGGTTGGGGCCAGGGAAGGGCGCCTCTCCCCGGCCGTGAGGTCTGGGGCGGCTGGTGGGGCCAGGGAGGGCGCCTCCCCCGGCCGTCAGGTCTGGGGGGGCTGGGTTGGGGCCAGGGAGGGCCCTCTCCCCGGCGTGGCAGGTCTGGGGCGGGGCTGGGTTGGGGCCAGGGGGGCCCTCTCCCCGGCCGTGGCAAGTCTGGGGGGGGCTGGGTTGGGGCCAGGGGGGTCCCCCGCGTGGCAGGTCTGGGGCGGGGCTGGGTTGGGGCCAGGGAGGCCCTCCCCCGGCCGTGGCAGGTCTGGGGCCGGGCTGGGTTGGGGCCAGGGAGGCCTCCGCGTCAGGTCTGGGGCCGGGGCTGGGTTGGGGCCAGGGGAGGGCGCCTCTCCCCCGGCCGTGGCAGGTCTGGGGCCGGGGCTGGGTTGGGGCCAGGGGAGGGCGCCTCTCCCCCAGCCGTGGCAGGTCTGGGGCCGGGGCTGGGCCAGGGGAGGGTGCCTCTCCCCCGGCCGTGGCAGGTCTCCCCGCCACAGCCCTGAGCGCCTGCGTGGCACTTAATAGGCTGCTGCACGGCCACGCAGCTTAGGGGGAATTTAACTCCCAGGACAGCAGCTGCTGCAGTGGAAGCTCTACCAGCCTTTGACAGGATACAGCCCCCATGCCAGGCCAGCTTTGCCCTCCTCTGACCCCTGGCATTCCAGCACAGCCTGGCTGGGTCTCACGGACAGATGGCTCCTTGGGCTGACTACACGCTCGCCCTAAACTCCTTTTGTTGCAAGCGGCCACCTCCCTGCCTTGGCCAGGCTCTGCAGAAGGAGTGGAGGCTGGCTGGGGTTTCCTTCCCCCACGGGGGAGGCTGCAGCACAGTGCCCAGGGCTCACAGTCTGTTTCTACTTGCAGAGGCTGAGACGGGATGGATGGAGCATCCCCTTTGCAGAGAAGACACCGCCCAGCCCCGTTCCTGATTCCCCCCGACTGACACCCATCACCATTCAGAAGAAACATTGTCCCATGGAGCCTGGGCTTGGAGACATGCAACTCTCCGTCCTCCCCAGGAAACCCCTTTGATTTCAGTGTCCCCCTTCACTTCCGCTTAGCCTGGCAATGTGACATCCTGCCTCCTCCCAGAGTATAGACCCCCGCCCCCCCTGCATCTCCCACTCCTCCTTCCCCTACAGCTCCATCACCCCCCAGAGGGTGCACATCCCCACCCTCACCCCCATTCTGCTCTGGCAGAGTCCAGGCTCTCTCAGGGTATGTCTACACAGCAAAGAAAAACCTGGGGCAGCCAACTCGGGCTCATGGGGCTCGGGCTGCGGGGCTGGTTCATTGCTGTGTGGACTTCCGGGCTCGGCCTGCAGCCCAGGCTCTAGGACCCTGTGGGGTGGGAGGGTCCCAGAGCTCGGGCTCTGGAAGTCTACACAGCAATGAAAGAGCCCTGCAGCCCCACGAGCCCGAGTCGGCTGCCCCAGGTTTGTCTTTGCCCTGTCGACATAGCCTTAGGGGCAGCCTGTATTTCTGACAGCCCCCCTTGGCGGGCTCCTCCCGCCAGCCCCAATCGGTCACAGAGGTGGACTGCCCAGCCTGTCAGCTGCAGCCTGGCGTCCGCAGAGCCCCCTTGCATGCTGCATGACACTTCGTTCTTTGCACTCGCCTTCCTAGGCCAGGTAACGAGCCTGAATTTCCCTCAGCCACCCAGCCCCACTCTTCGCCCCACCGCCAGTCAGGGCTGGGACTCTGGCTTTGAAAAGTCTCAGCTGCTTTTCTAGCATAGAGTTTGGTTTGGTTCGGTTTTTTTAGCCCCCTTTTTAATAGTAACCAGGGCCTCACTTGAATTCCTATTGCCCATATATTCCAGACTGTGTGTGCTATTCCCACCCGGCCCCCCACCAATCATCAGCCCTCTTAGCTCCTCCAAGCTGATCTTGTTTACTGCAGAATCCCCTGGAAGCCTGACTGCATGCTGCATACAAAATAGCTTTCTGGTGAAGGGCCACGAAAGAGAGCGATTGCAAAGCAGCATCATATGAAAATAGCCCTCCATGCCCGTTTGCCATGTTCTGGCCGTGCACCCCTCCTGCCCCCAGCTTGCGCGTGCCTCACTCCCTCCCCCTATGCACGCCTCACCAGCCTCGACACGGCTGGAAGGATCTAGTACCGACGCCCAGTGGTTTTTCTATAGTTCTTTTCGGTTTTGCATGTGATTTCTCCAGCAAAGTTGGAATGTCAATAAAGGAATGTTGCTATGAAGCCTGAGTGCAGAGTAGTCCTTTGCCCGGATGGTGTTTCCATTCTCAGGGAGCTAAAGCATCTGCACCCACACCCCACTCTGGAGAGCCCAGTTTCATTGCTGAATCTTCTCTCCCCCTGCCTGCAAGCAAGGACCCCTCATCCCATAGCCCCCTACCCGTAGCTGGCTCGTTCTCACTCCCTCTGCAGAGAGAACACCCCCAGTGCCCATAGGGCACCCTTCATGGAGCTGCTGTGGCCTGGCCAGGGGAGTCAGGGCAAAGCCTGAGCAGATGCTCCTGGGGCTTACAGCACACCCTCCCCTTGGCGGGGCACTGCCGGGCAGTCTGTCCCCTGGAAAGGGGCTGGGCCCCTGCTGTTGAGAGGCGGTACACTGTGGGTACTGACCACAGTACTGCAAAGAGAGGATGGTCCGCCTCCCCTCCAGACACAGTCCGGGGGCGCTGGGCACCGCTACTGGCCCTTTGCTCCAAAGCTCTCAAAGCATTTTTCAGCTCAGGGCACAGGGGGTGGCTGCGACTCGGGCTTTCCCTGTGGTTCTAGGCCCGTTATTGGGAGCAACTTGGGAGAGTTTCAGGGACGAGCAGTGCCCTTGTGGGGCTAACGGCAGCAGGCCTGGGCCAGGCCTGCGAGCGACTGGCAGGAGGCCCCACCGGGTCGTCCTCGCTGCCCCAGAACGGCTCGTTTACTTGGCACATGGGGATGAAAGAAGGAGCAGGACAAAAGGAGGGGGCTCCGCGACACAGCTGGAGTGGGAGTGTTTAAAGAGTTAATGACTCTTGGTCCTCGCTCCCCACTTCCCGCCCCCACCTGTCTGATCGTCGCCCCTCTCCCCTATGGCTCAGCAAAGCAGGGGCCCTGGACCAGCTGCCGTAGGCAGCACCCCCAATTCCATTGTGAGCCAAAGCTGGGCCGGGCTCTACCAGCATACACAAGGCTCAGTTCGGTCCCCCAGAGCCCCGTGCCTAGAGGGGCCTCCCGCACATTGCCCGGCCCAGTGGAGCCCTCTGGGTGGCAGCAAGGGGTTGCTGTGTGGGGTGTAGCATGCACATCACCCTCCCCACAGCACCACAGCCCCCAGCCATTCCCCGGGGGGAAGAGCTGCAGGGCCTCTCTGGGGTGACGGCCCGCCATGGGGCAGACAGCCATGGGCCGGTGCAGGGCAGTGCCTGGGGGTAAGAGCTCCGTGGAGCTGCCGCAAGGGGAGGAATGAAGCCAAGTCCCTCGCTGCTCTCCCCCTGCAGCTCGGCTGGCTGCGATCTTCCCCCCACTCCGGTCCTGCTGGCCTCTCTCTGCCCCAGCTGCACCAAGGAGGCAATGAAAGTACAAAGGTATATGGATTTGCATACTCAGTGGTTACGTAGACATACTGATCCATGCGTCCCAACCCAGGGGAAGTGTACAACAGGGGAAGTGTTTACTAGGCTGTTCGACAGGGGTCCCTGCATGGTCCCCCCATGCAGTAAATGGGAGACAGTAAAAGCCTTGATTATTTTTTTTAAAAAGGGTCACGTATCAAAATCCAGCAGAGGTTTCTGAGGGGAACTGGAGCTAGTGCCGCCCCCCCGCTCACACAACCATGTTGAGTCTGGACTTGGTGGTGCTGGCAGACTCTGGCCTCGACACCGGCTGCTTCAGGAGGCGGCTCCCGGGGTCGCTGCCGTGTCTCTGCAAGGAGGCGTCTGAGATCCCCGGGGCAGTGGCATCCTCCCTGTAAACAAACAGGAAACGAATCAGCTAGATCTGGCACCATCTGGCTGAGCTACATCAGCATCCATGAACACGACTGACCCCAGCGAAGGATGGGCCCTCCCTCCCTTTAACAAAGCTCTCTCCGCACACTAGTGCAGAGTGACATCTTTGTACCGAGGGGCTTGCCAGCCTCCCTATGGGAAGCCACAATCACTCCATCAGATCAGTTAGAGACAAAGAAAACCTATGACCCCATCGCCTGTCCCATCCTTCCTGCCAGCCCCACAGAGCAGCATGCTCTCCAGTCTAGCACCAGGTAGAGGGTCCGTGCTTCAGCGGCTGTGTCTCTTGCCCAAAGACAACAAGCCCCAGGGGGCAGGATGGAAATGGTGGGAGTTGTCAGCAAGAGCCTTTCAACTTTGCTCACTGGGTTAAATCTGCCCTGGATCAGCAGTGACCTACGGCCTATGAACACTGCTCAGCGGCCTATGTGAAATGAGCTGGTGGGTCACTGGCGTCCACATCCCCACAACAGAGACTAGCTTCCATCCGCAGCCTTGGCAGAGAAGCTAAGCACAGATGGAACTCCCCTCTGCGCCCTAGGTCAGGGAGGAAGTGTGTGGGTGGGGGACGGGGAAGTTTGCACTGATGCTGCCTGGGGTGGGCCTGCCTTTGCTCAGGGGTTCTGTAGCGGGGTGGACAAGCAGAGGGGTTTAAGGTAGCCCTGGGAGAGGGCTGGGGCAGGGGAAGAGCTGGGCTGATTGGCAGAGGAGCCGCAGCTGGGGGCCATGCCCCAAACAGACCCAGTGGGCCTCATAAAAGCCAGGGAAGCCAGGAGCAGAAGAGAGAGACTCTCTCTCACTTCTGAGAGGGAGGGACCCGGCTGCAGGGACCCAAGCAGAGTACCTAGATTGGAGCAGGGCTAGGGAAGGGCCTGGGGAGCTCCAGCCAGGAAAGCCCCAGCTGTGGCCGAGCATTAGGCCCAACAGGTACTGGGGTTGCAGCCTGAGATTAGGGAGAGGCAGCAGGTCCAAATCCAGCCTTGCCGGTGATGAGTGGCTCACACTGCAGTCTGCCCCAGGGCGTTGGGGCTAGCTGGGGACTGGCAGGAGCCTATGACTAAGGCGAGGTAGGGATAGTGGGTGGGGGGTTCCCCTGGGAGGGTGAGACCCAGAACTGTGGGGTACTGCCAGGGGGCAGCACCCAGTGAAAGGGACACTGGGGTCCTGGGAGGGACATGGGAGCCAGCAGCAAGGCGAGACACCTCCCTGAAGAGGGCGCTCTGGAGGCTGGAACGCTAATTCCCTGAGACCACCAGCAGGAGGCGCCGCCAGTGAGTCTGCGCCTGGTTACAGGTTCTAACCTTATATCGTTCCCAGTGACTGTGGACCGGGACTCCTCCTTTCTGTACCAGAACAGATAGATCGCAGCTGCCCCGAGCAGTAAGACCACCAGCAACACTCCTATCACAGCTCCTGCGATCACTCCAGCTTCCCCAGTGCCTATGGGGAACACAAACCCAAGAGGTGGAGGTTGGCTTAGCAGGTAACTCTGGGCTTTCCACCCCCTGTGGCTAGATTTCTGTGATCGGCAGCCAGTAATGAGCCCCAAATTTGGCCCTTAGTGACTTTGAAACAACTGTGGTGTGCAAGAGCCCGAAGGAAGAGCCCGGAAAGGAAAGCTAGAGAAAAGCATTGGGAAGAGACCTAGGGAGGTAGTGGAATCTCCTTCCTTAGAAGTTTTTAAGGTCAGGCTTGACAAAGCCCTGGCTGGGATGATTTAATTGGGGATTGCTTTGAGCAGGGGGTTGGACTAAATGACCTCCTGAGGTTCCTTCCAACCCTGATATTCTATGATCCTATGAGACAAAGGAAAACAGAGTGACCGAGTAAGAACAGGGAAAGGACGGCCAGGAGAAAAAGCTAGAGCAGTCAAACATTCCTAACCAACATAGATCTGTCATGGGTGCAAAGGCTGCAGGCTCCTTTGCTTGGTCATAACACAATTAAATCGACTCTCTGTGATGCCCTTGTTTTTTCCAACCCCCAGACGTTCTTGTTAAACCCTGGATTTGTGCTAGAAATGGCCTACCTTGATTATCATACACATTGTAAGGAGAGTGGTCACTTTAGATAAGCTGTTACCAGCAGGAGAGTGGGGTGGGGGGAGATATTTTTTCATGCTTTGTATGTATAAAAAGATCTTCTACACTTTCCACAGTATGCATCTGATGAAGTGAGCTGTAGCTCACGAAAGCTTATGCTCAAATAAATTGGTTAGTCTCTAAGGTGCCACAAGTCCTCCTGTTCTTTTTTTGATGCTCTGGAGTTTGTTCTGTCTCCTCTCAGCCAGGCCTGTTCACACCTATCCCAGCACACCACTTTTTAAAGAGGGCAGTGCAGGAACCTTCACACCCTTACTCAGTAGAAGGACCAGCACCAACTGCTCTCCCCTGGATCAGTAGGCCCATGAGTCAGTTCCAGCCACATTCTTCTATCCACAGATAAGCTATTACCAGCAGGAGAGTGGGGTGGGAAGAGGTATTGTTTCATGATCTCTGTGTGTATATAATGTCTGCTGCAGTTTCCACGGCATGCATCCGATGAAGTGAGCTGTAGCTCACGAAAGCTCATGCTCAGATAAATTGGTTAGTCTCTAAGGTGCCACAAGTCCTCCTGTTCTTTTTGCGAATACAGACTAACACGGCTGTTACTCTGAAACCAGAGAGGGAAACTGAGGCAGTGACTTGCCTGAGGTCACAGAGTGAATCAGAGTCAGGATTAGAACTTGAGGCCTCCCAACTCTGCATTATCCCTCCAGCCCTTTATCACCAGACATTTCTAGAAGATGAGCCAGGCCTGGGGTCTCCCTGGGAGAGCTCTCTGCGTTTCAACAGAGCAGATTTGTTTTGATGGAAGATAGTCTCAGAAATTGGACACAGAGAAACCCTTTCAGATCACTTCAGGCCGGGCTAGGAGCATTCCCTGTTGGAGCATTTTCTAAGGCTCTGCCCTTTTAAAGGTCCCCATGAAGGCACTCCCACCCCTCCTATGGGAGAGACTTCCCCAGTCACACACTGCTCTCTCTCGCCCAGGGGACTGCCTCGCTAAAATCGTCTTTCCTTCATTTCATCCCTCCCTCCTGGCGCACCATACTGCATCTCCAGCCGAGGCATTTACACCCTTCCCACATGCAGATGGCTCTCACCCTGCCCCTTTAGGCCTCGCTCGGTCAGGCTGTGAAGCCAGCTAAGAAGGGAGCTCTCACAGATGCAAGCACTAATTAACACAGGGAGCCAGACCTGAGCGGGATCCATGTGCCAAATGGGACCTGACTCGTGGAGGCCGGCGTTAAAAGCAACACCTGGGATACAGTCCTTAGCAGTGAGCAGGTTCACCGGGGGTGGGGGGGGATTCTTAGCCCAGCAGGGGCCAAGGCCCTAGCAATCACCAAGGGAGAAGATTTCCTTGAACACTAACTCCAGAGCCAGAATATGGTATCTGCTTGGGAATTTGTCATCAAACATGGTTTGTCATTGCAAAAGGCAGGTTTGTTGAAACCAGAACTTCTCATGACAATGGATAGGTCAAAACTCGACTCCCAAGAGAGCTCTAAACCAGGCACAGCAGGGATTTGAACCTGGGTCTCCTACATAGCAGGCAAAGGCCCCAAACACCGTGCTGTTGGCTATTTAGGAAGGCAGTGCTTTCTCTGTTTCACAAGCATGTTGCACGCTCAGGTGTGTTCTGGAATGAAAGCGACTGTCGGAACCTCCACGTTTTTCACAAAGCGGCATTCGAGTTTCCTGACCAGCCCTCAGGCATTCCTGACCGGGCCCTGGATGAATCTCTAAAGATCTACGCCCAGATCCTCAGCTGGTGTCAGTCACTTTCCTGGCTAGTGGGTTGAAATCTGGGTCTAGCCTCCCACTAGACTGCTTGAAAACCTCAGCTCAGGGCTCCCTGCAACAGGAAAGAGGAAGAAGAGGAAATGCAAAGGAGCCCTCAAGAGAAAGGCTGAAGGAGACAAGAGATGCACCAAAAACTCCTCACTGTGAATCCTACTGACTGAAGATGGGTGAGCATGGTGGCCCCAGGCTGTGGACAGACTCTAGGCCTCAGCATAAAGCAGCTGCAACTTCCCCCAGGGTGGGTAGGAGCGAACTCTCAGCCAGAGCGACAAAAAAGCCTCAGCCCTAGGAATTCAGAGAGCAGCCGGCACGTCAGCCACTAGATGGTAGCAAAGCCCCATGGTGAGGGGCTGAGCGAGAAGAACCAGCTCCCATTCCCCGAGCCTTGTGTCAGGACCCAGGGCGTTGCAATCGACAGGGCACACAGGTCCCGCCCCTTTGGGAAGAGGGAGCAATAAATGCTCCCCCCCCCCCCGATTCCCCAACCTCCTGCGCCACCTCCAGGAGGGAATGGGACAATGCGAGCAGCCCCACACCCCAACACTGAACCATCAGCAAGAAAGCATCTCGATGCTGACGGTCCCAACAGTTGCTGTGCATCCCAGATGTTCCCTTTGGGGGCACTGCAGCTGGGAAGTCCTCCAATCCCCGCCCCACCTGCCCATCAATCCAGTTTCTGGGCTGCACCTGGGATGGAGTTGACCTGTCTCTCTCCTGGGGAGGGGCACAGAACAGCTATTCATGCCTTCACCGGATCCACAGAGAAAACAGTGACAGGCGAGGACAAGCCCCACCTTACCGTGGCTGTGGGCAGCACAAGTGCTAGGAATAACCGTGGCAATTTCTGCCGATTCTCCAGTGTTGCAGCTAGAGCCCTCAATGGTGCCAGCTAGATAGCACGCAGTAGAGAGGGGTAGCTGGGGAGGTGTCAGGACAGTGGCATAAAAGCCAAGGGGAGGGAGAGGTGGCACTTGCAGGGGACCTTGAGGACAGTAAGTTTCAGTGTAGAGAAGAGGGCAGAAGGAGAGGAGGACAAGGCAGAGTTGTAAATAGCCCACGGGAGGGTCTTGTAGGAGAAGCCAATGCATGGAACCCAGGCCTCGTTAGCGGGGGATGGCTCATTTGAGGCTGTGCTCTGAGATCTGGGCTCAGAAACAGGGACACCCCAGGAACAGATTGGATCGTTTACCTTAATTGAATCAACCAACACTATGTGATATTAATAGGTTGCCATGGTGAAAAGCTGCCTCGGAAATCTAACAGCTTGAAAAAAAAAAACTTTGCCCATAGCAACAAAGAGAAACTTAGAAACAGAGTCCAGCCTCGGAAGTTTGCCCCTGTCTTTCCATCGGGGAGTGGGGTTTGTCTCCACGTGGAATTGTTGGTGGGTGGAGCCCAGCCCCCAAAGCCCACTGCCACCCTGAGGACTACACAGATTTCAGAACCTGCATGGAAATCAGTGTCCTCTTCCCTGCTTCCAAGTGCACCCTTTCCACCACAGCAGCATGGCTTTGGCGGGGACCCTGCGGGGGGGACTGTAGGCTTTCAGCTACTTCCCTGCACATCCAAGCTGCTCCGTTTTCTCACTAGCTCCTTGCAGGACTGTAAAGATTGTGCTGGTCCCATGTGACCTCTGCCCTTGCAATCATTGCTGTCTGTCAGCGCGCCAGTCTCCTGGCATAGCAGGGAGGCACCAGCAGGCATATTTCAGAGGAGGGGTTGGGCCATGTGGGCAGAAGGCAGCACTCCTGGTGGGCAGAATAGGGCGCACAGACACAACGAGGGTGGACATCTCACCTGCCACATTGACTGTCACTTGGCAACTGACATGGCCAAACTGGTTGGAGGCCACGCACTGGTAGGTCCCTGAGAATGCCAGCGAGAGGTTCGTCAGCTGCAGCTTCCCGGTTTGGTCATCTGTAAGGAGAAAAGCAGCAGGACCATCGTTAATGCCAGAGGCACCTGGAGGAACCCCCCTGTGCTGGCAGAGGGAGCGGGCGTGGGGTAGAGAGAGCATAGCAGCCCCCAACTCAGCACTGGGCTGTGGCAGCCTTTCCAAAGGGTGAATGAACTGGACTGTGAGATGAGCTCTACCCCGCACAAGGAGAGACAGGGAGTAGCCAACCGTGAGCGCATGGATATGACTGTGGTCAGCAGCAGGGACTGACGCTGGGACTTTCAGCTCCCAAGGCCGCTGCCAGGTGAGCTAGAGGAGAACTCCACTTGCTGCGAGCAAGTAGCAGGCTGTTCTCCTCTCTAGAGTCAGCCACTAGAGGGAGACATGGGCACATGTGCTAGGCCAGTGTAGTTCACACAATTGCATGTGTGCCTAGCACCCTGTGCGGCAAGGCAGCTTTGCAACCCGATTCCCTACCATGTCATAAATAGTCCATATTGGCCACTGGGACCCTCTGAGTGATTGATTGGGAAGGGCTTCTGAAAGGCCAGAGTTTGCAGTCAGCCCTTCTCTGTGTGGGGGTCGGGGAAGGTTCGGTGCTCAAGCTCTGGAGATGACTTGGCAGAAGCAGCCTGTGATGCTTGCAGACCAGGTGCCAGTTCATGCCAAGGCTCACTGAACACTGACAAATGCACAGCTGGAAACCAGCCTGGCTCACTTGTGAGTTAGCATTGTTACAACAGATGTTAGAGTTATAATGTGTTCAGTGTTGGGACTTTATGACACGCTTGTGAGTTGCTGCATGCATTGATCACCTTATAACATCTGTATCCCAGACGGTAAACTTATATTGAGTGTTTGCATTGTTAAGCTGTGTACCTCACCAACCAGGAAAGAAGCATTAATTAATGAAAAATTAATGGTCCTGCACCAAGAAGGCCCAGATGAGCCATTGTGAAACACTGAAGAACAAAGACTTTGTTTCAGAGTGATAGCCGTGTTAGCCTATATCAGCAAAAAACAATAAGGAGTCCTTGCGGCACCTTAGACTAACATTTATTTGGGCATAAGCTTTCGTGGGCTAAAACCCACTTCATCAGATGCATGGAGTGGAAAATACAGAGGCAGGTATAAATACACAGCATATGAAAAGATGGGAGTTGCCTTACCAAGTGGAGGGGTCAGTGCTAATGAGCCAATTCAATTAAAGTGGAAGTGGGCTATTCTCAACAGTTGACAAGAAGGGGTGAATACCAAGGGAGGGAAAAAAATAACTTTTGTAGGGCCACCTTGATTACATTGGCCTCATTAGCACATTTCAAACAGTTGACAAGAAGGTGTGAGTATCAGCAGAGGGAAATTGGTTTTTGTAATGACCCATCCACTCCCAGTCTCTATTCAGGCCTAATTCGATGGTGTCCAGTTTGCAAATTAATTCCAGTTCTGCAGTTTCTCGCTGGAGTCTGTTTTTTGAAGTTTTTTTTTTGTTGAAGAATGGCCACTTTTAATTGCCAGTGTTGTTGAGTGTCCAGGGAGATTGAAGTGTTCTTCTGCTGGTTTTTGAATGTTATAATTCTTAATGTCTGACTCCAACGAGAAACTGCAGAACTGTCATACGTGGCTTAGAGGGCCAGTAAGTCTGGCCACCCCTGCTCTACAGTAAGGCTGTTTTAGAGCTTGAGGAGCTCACACTTGATACTTGGTTGGTGAAGTCTAAGTGTAGAACACCCTGCTTCTTAACAGTCTTCCCTGAGGCTGGCACACATGGTTGTGAGTCACTCTAGACCCAGCCAATGTGAATCGTTCCACCCAGTGCTCATCCGTGGTTGTGGAACTGGGCCCTGGATTTGCTCCTCCCTGTATCTCCTACAAGCTCATGCTCATAGATCAAGACAGATAGCCGGAGGCTGTCTTCAACAGGCCATGTGCCTTCTATGCCCCAGGGCTTAACTGCCCTAGAGTGAGTCTGCAAAGAGACCGGCCCTTGAAATAAACATTGTCATTTCAGTCACTAAGTGCATTAACGGGCAAGATGCTGGTTTCCTGCCCTGAGTCCAGAGGAGAGACAGCCCCAGAGCGGAGACTGCAAGACATCAAGGGGAGAGATACGGGAAGGTGAGACTCCTTAACCCCGGAAAGGGAACAGTCGGCTCCACTTCCACTGAGAGCTTCACCAGCAACTCTCCCCCAGCTGCTGCCCCAGCATCTGATGGAGGATTCAGGCCTCTGATCAGACTCTGTTGAAAAGGACTCAAAGGGGCCTTTGAAGAGGAGGTTTTGCTTCTAGGCTGTGTCCTTTGGGGTTTTTCTTTAAGATCTATTTTAAAGATCTAGTCTGGTTCAAACTTGCTGGAAGAAATCCTGGTGAAGAGCAAAACCACTGCTCTGAAACTGAGGAGCAACTCCTCTTCAGCTTCTGTCTGAGACGTTAAAATATATTCAAACAAACAAGGACATGGTATTTGCCTCCGAAACTGATCCACAGGTGCAACCTACTGGTAGCAAAGGAAACTCCAAATGGCACTGAAAAATGAGTTTATACAGCTAAGATTAAGGGTCTGATCCTGCAAACTCAGACTCAAATAAGTAGTCTCTACTCCGGTCAGTGCTTTCATTTAAATCAACGAGACTGCTCCTGCGTGTCGGGACTGTGCCGGTTGCAATGTATTTACATGCAGTATATTATTCAGCCACCAGATGTCGCTGTGTGGGGTACAGAGTTCCAGAGGGTGCGGTTCTGGGTGAACACGGCAGACAAAGCTGGACCTTGAGCTGTGTGACTCTCTGATTGGGTCTGTAGTTTACAGCTGTTTTCTTTAATAAATGGAGTACCTTCTGATTAATGGGGTCTGTGACTCCATATGTCAGGATGCATGTGAGAGAGTTTGTGGGACTGGGCCCTGACCTTTTTTTTCCTAATTTCTAAAATATTCCCTTTTCAGCCAGAGAATTACTTGAGACTCACAGCTGGTTACTCCAGACAGCATCTGGCCACAAGAGCCTCTGGAATTCATACAATCACAGGAGGTCAACATTAAATCTGATACCTGGATTTTAAGAGGGACTGGTTATTCCCCAAATCACAACAGAGTGTACCTCCATGCTTCAGATATAAACTTATCTGACAGGGGAGGAAAGAAGCTTCCCCAACCCTGGATAGCTTTGTACAATGGGTCAGATCCTTTTTTCACCTTCCTCCAAAGCATCAGGCCTAGGTCACTGCTAGAGCTGGGATACTGGATGGGATGGACCACTGTCTAGTTGGCAGCCGGTGTCAAGTGGAGTGCCCCAGGGGGTCGGTCCTGGGGCCGGTTTTGTTCAATATCTTCATAAATGATCTGGAGGATGGTGTGGATTGCACTCTCAGCAAATTTGCGGATGATACTAAACTGGGAGGAGTGGTAGATACGCTGGAGGGCAGGGATAGGATACAGAGGGACCTAGACAAATTGGACGATTGGGCCAAAAGAAATCTGATGAGGTTCAATAAGGATAAGTGCAGGGTCCTGCACTTAGGACGGAAGAACCCAATGCACAGCTACAGACTAGGGACCGAATGGCTAGGCAGCAGTTCTGCGGAAAAGGACCTAGGGGTGACAGTGGACGAGAAGCTGGATATGAGTCAACAGTGTGCCCTTGTTGCCGAGAAGGCCAATGGCATTTTGGGATGTATAAGTAGGGGCATAGTGAGCAGATCGAGGGACGTGATCGTCCCCCTCTATTTGACATTGGTGAGGCCTCATCTGGAGTACTGTGTCCAGTTTTGGGCCCCACACTACAAGAAGGATGTGGATAAATTGGAGAGAGTCCAGCGAAGGGCAACAAAAATTATTAGGGGTCTGGAACACATGACTTATGAGGAGAGGCTGAGGGAACTGGGATTGTTTAGTCTGCGGAAGAGAAGAATGAGGGGGGATTTGATAGCTGCTTTCAACTACCTGAGAGGTGGTTCCAGAGAGGATGGTTCTAGACTATTCTCAGTGGTGGAAGAGGACAGGACAAGGAGTAATGGTCTCAAGTTGCAGTGGGGGAGGTTTAGGTTGGATATTAGGAAAAAATTTTTCACTAGGAGGGTGGTGAAACACTGGAATGCGTTGCCTAGGGAGGTGGTGGAATCTCCTTCCTTAGAAGTTTTTAAGGTCAGGCTTGACAAAGCCCTGGCTGGGATGATTTAATTGGGGATGGGTCCTGCTTTTGAGCAGGGGGTTGGACTAGATGACCTCCTGAGGTCCCTTCCAACCCTGATATTCTATGATTCTATGATATGTTGGTGTCTGGATTCCTTCAATTCTGTTTCTATCAGATCACTCAGAATCCGTCAGTGGCGGCTTTACACATCTCTGCACAGGAGGTCTATAAGGGATGGCACTCTCCACCTACTTTGCACCATATTGGCCAATGGCAATGAGGTCTTGGAGTCCACCCGTGACCAGGTGTAAGTAGGGGCAGGCACCCCCTCCACGGAGCTGCAGGTCAGCGTGGCATCACCCCCAATCCGGGTATATTCTGTCCCTTTACAAACAGGGGTAGATGGAGGCACTGAATGGGAAATGAGAAGAGAAAACAATGGATTTCTGTACTAGGAGCATGCACTATCATTGTGTAGCACGGCACCTGGCTGTCTCCCCTGCCACTGCGGTCAGCCGGCACCCGCTCACTGCTGACATTCCTGTGTCACTACCTTGTTTAACTGAGTCTCATCTGTTTGTTCTCCTGCTCCCCACATCCACCAGCCCCTCCTCTCTTCTTCTCCTTCCACCCACTCGTCTCCCTGCCATCCGTCTAGCTCTCTGCAGAGTGCCACGCAAAGGCCAGTGAATGGGAAGCTACTGTAATAATTGCTCTTCTCTGCCACTTCCCACCCAGAGATCCCAAAGCACTTTCCAAGAAGGTCCAGGTCATTACCCCTTTGTACAGATGGGAACACTGACTCATGCGATACAAGGGGACCCGCAATATCCCAGCCCCAGCTCCAAGGCCAGACAGACAGGATCCTAGCTGCTCTCGGGCCTGGCCCAAGATCCCCCTTCCGTGGCGGGCCATGGAATCGCAGTACCCAGACTCACTCAGCACGGTGAAGTGGATGAGCCCCGAGCCACTGCCGTAGAAGTCCGGAGGGTTGTTCACCTCGCAGATGTATGTGCCGTTGTCCGAGGGGCGGACGTTAGCTAGCTGAAGGGTCGCATCCCCCATGGTGGGAGGGTTGTGCAGGAAGCTGAGTCGTTTGGCCTGGGAGCCGGGCTTGTACAGCTTGTCATTCGTGAAGTAGAGGATCTGCAGGGAGAGGAGAACGTTTGCTGGGGTCCCCTCACAGACAGGGGTTTGTCCAATACCGACACGGTGAATGAAGGCGGATCGGACGAGGGAGGCACCGGAGTGTCACGCAGCGCCAAGAGCAAACCTGCCCTCCGGCTGGCTCTGCATTGTCATTGCAAAGCATGTGGCTTGGGAGAGCAGGTTATGGCAAAAACTTCAGAGACTCCAGCAGCCAGTCGCGGGTCGGGGCTCAGGGCTCATGCAAGGGGGAGACGAGGGGTTTGAGAGATTCACCAGGAGACAGAAACACAAAAGAGGGAGGGGCTGATAGTACACAATATGGGACGTGAAGTCAAAAACTGGGAGGAGAGGTAGATACGCTGGAGGGCAGGGATAGGATACAGAGGGACCCAGACAACTTAGAGGATTGGGCCAAAAGAAATCTGATGAGGTTCAACAAGGACAAGTGCAGAGTCCTGCACTTAGGACGGAAGAACCCAATGCACCGCTACAGACTAGGGACCGAATGGCTCGGCAGCAGTTCTGCAGAAAAGGACCTGGGGGTTACAGTGGACGAGAAGCTGGATATGAGTCAACAGTGTGCCCTTGTTGCCAAGAAGGCCAATGGCATTTTGGGATGTATAATTAGGGGCATTGCCAGCAGATCGAAGGACGTGGTCGTTCCCCTCTATTCAACATTGGTGAGGCCTCATCTGGAGTACTGTGTCCGGTTTTGGGCCCCACACTACAAGAAAGATGTGGAAAAATTGGAAAACATCCAGCGGAGGGCAACAAAAATGACTAGGGGTCTGGAACACATGACTTACGAGGAGAGGCTGAGGGAGCTGGGATTGTTTAGTCTGCGGAAGAGAAGAATGGGGGGGATTTGATAGCTGCTTTCAACTACCTGAAAGAGGGTTCCAAAGAGGATGGATCTAGACTGTTCTGAGTGGTAGCTGATGACAGAACAAGGAGTTGGTTCATTTTTGTTGCTCTTCTCCGGACTTTCTCCAATTTGTCCACAACTTTCCTGAAATTGTGGCACTCAGAACTGGACATAATATTCAGTTAAGGCCTAATCAGCACAGAGTAGAGTGGAAGAACTACTTCTCCTGCTAATACATCCTAGAACGAGGTTTGCTTTTTTTGCAACAGTGCTACACTGTTCACTCATAGTTAGCTAGTAATCCACTCTAACCCCGATCCCTTTCCACAGTACTCCTTCCTAGGCAGTTATTTCCCATTTTGTATGCTGCAACTGATTGTTCCTTCCTAAGTGAAGTACTTTGTGTTTGTCATTATTGAATTTCATCCTGTTTACTTCAGATCATTTCTCCAGTTTATCCAGATCATTTTAAATTTTAATCCTATCCCCTCCGTGTACTCTTTATGCCATTATCTAAATCATTGATGAAGATACCAAACAGAGGATTGGTAGCTGCATACCCAGTCTAAAGCCCTCACAACCTGAGCTTGGTGACTTCTCATGAAATGGCTGCCCCAGGCACTGACAGAACTAAGATCCAGTCCCCAACCTTAATTGCAATAGTAGAAGATGGATGAAAAGCTATGAGAAGGGGAAGGGGTAATAAAAGTAGCAAAGCTAAACTAGCAGTGTTGTGGCTTTCCCCACATACTGACCTCCCACTGGTGCACAACCCTCACAAGTCTTCACTGGGAGGTACTGTAATCACTGAATAAAGAGCAATCTGTCTCCTGATTATTTTTATTAATGGTAGTATTACTGTAGCATGTCAGAGACCCTGCCATGGAGCAAACCCCATTGTGCTAGGTTCTGTACAAATAGAAGGTCCCTGATCCAAAAGCTCGCAATCTAAGTATAAAACAAAAGACAACAGATGGTTACAAACATGGGAGTACAAGACAGACAGACAGACAGACACTGGTCAATGTTATAGGCAGGGATATCAGCACAATGGCGAAAAACAGTTGTCAAGTTTTTTTTCCTGTCAGCATCACAGAAAAGAGGAGAGTTTAAAGAAGGGATTCGAAGAATGATAAGGTAGCTCTAAGATTGTTTATGAGGAGCTTTTCCAAAGTATGAGAGGAGCACAGGAGGAAAGCATAAGTGCTTGTCTCAAGTTGCCGTGGGGGAGGTTTAGGTTGGATATTAGGAAAAACTTTTTCACTAAGAGGGTGGTGAAACACTGGAATGCGTTACCTAGGGAGGTGGTAGAATCTCCTTCCTTAGAAGTTTTTAAGGTCAGGCTTGACAAAGCCCTGGCTGGGATAATTTAGTTGGGGATTGGTCCTGCTTTGAGCAGGGGGTTGGACTAGATGACCTCCTGAGGTCCCTTCCAAACCTGATAGTCTATGATTCTATGGGACAACACACAGTCCTACCCCGCCATACACGGCGTATCCCAGGGGAACGCACAGGCCCAGCCAGAAAGCCTGCGGCAGGGCTAGCAATAGAGCCCAGATCTCTTGCACCCAGCCCAGGGCTTTAACCACAAGCCCATCCTTCCCCCTCGATGGATGAGAACATCCCATTGGCTGTTCCCACTGGCTGTCGGAAACAACAGTTGTATCTGCAGTGACACTCATGATTGTACATGCCTCTGAGCTTCTCATTCAATTGCCTCCACGGGTCCTTTCCCAGCCTCCCAGTTGACCCTGGTCCCATCCCTGCTCTTGGATACGAGGCCTCACTGGTAGCAGACATACATCACTTGGATCTGAGGGCCCCTCTGGGCTGGCTGCTCCCCCCACATTCTGCAGTAATGTTAGAGTCACTCAAAAACCTCCAATTTAATTTCTACCAAAAGTTGGGAATGAAATGGATTCAGCTGGCATTGCTTCGGAAGCGGGAGTGAGCGCCCCTTGCGTTGGTTCAAATTCTTTTTGTTGCTGCTGGAACCATTAAAAATTTGGACCAGCCTGAGCCGCTTTCAGGAAACATTTAGACAAAACTTCATTTTTTGACTCAAAAAATATTGGTTGGGAAAAAAGCAACAGCCAGCGCTTAGGTAGAGTGTTCAGAGTAACAGCCGTGTTAGTCTGTATTCAAAAAGAAAAGCACGGTATGCATCCGATGAAGTGAGCTGTAGCTCACGAAAGCTCATCTCAAATAAATTGGTTAGTCTCTAAGGTGCCACAAGTACTCCTTTTCTTTTTAGGTAGAGTGTGTCCTTCACAGATCTCAAAGTGCTGGACAAAGGAGGGCAGCAGCATTAGCCCCATTTTACAGATGGGGAAACTAAGGCACAGGGAGGGCAGTGACTTGCCCAAGGCACCCAGGGTACTAATGGCAAAGCTGAGAGCTGAGTCCAGGTCTCCCGAGTCCCACTCCAGTGCCCTGTCCACTAGGCCAGGGGTGGCCAACCTGGGGCTCCGGAGCCACGTGCGGCTCTTCAGAAGTTAACGTGCGGCTCTTTGTCTAGGCACCGATTCCGGGGCTGGAGCTACAGGTGCCAACTTTCCAATGTGCCGGGGGGTGCTCACTGCTCAACCCCTGGCTCTGCCACAGGCCCAGCCCCCCCTCCATCCCTTCCCGCCCCCTTGCCTGAGCCTGCACTGCCCTCGCTCCTCCCCCTGCCTCCCAGAGCCTCCTGCATGCCACAAAACAGCTGATCGGGAGGTGCGGGGAGGGAGGGGGCTGCCTGTGGGCAGGAGACGCCGGGAGCGGGGTGGGGGAGCTGCTGACATGTTACTGTGGCTTTTTGGCAACACACATTGGTAAACTCTGGCTCCTTCTCTGGCTCAGGTTGGCCACCCCTGCACCGGGCCCCCTGCTCTAACGACGAGCCCATCAGCCTTTAGGGGCTTTCCCTTGGCCTCACTCTTGTTCCCTGGTGGTGATTTGCCCCTCAGCCTGGGCTGACAACTTGCAGCCCCGCTTTCTGCATCAGCTCCTCATCCAGGCCTCAAGAGGCTTGAACGACCCCCCCGCAGGCTTTCCCTGGGCCGGAAGCAGCCACATTTTGAAGAAAGCCCCCCCCGCAAGCTCCTCCCCTTGGCACCCTGGTCCTCCCCTCACCGGCTCGCCCTGCCCGGGCGCTGCAGAGCCTGGCGCAAACCTCCACTCCAGAATGAAGTTTTTGTCAACCGAGGTTTTATAGTGGCAGGGAAGTTCCACGCTGGCCCCGCGTTCCTGCATCACAGGGTCCTGTGGTACCGTCACCTCCACACACGGCCCAGCACCTGTGCAGGAGAGCGAATGAGGCCTTCAGCTCTGTCGCTGCCTCTTCCCCACGGCAGCATCCTGCTCTCCGGCCCCCGCAGCTGCAGCCTCCCTGCCCGCCAGGCCATGCAAAACGCTGAGGCTTCAGTAGGGTTGCCAACTCTCCCAGACTGGCTGGCAGTCTCCCGGAGACGGCCTCGATCTCCTGGGGACTATTAAAAGCAATCTGGGAGATTTTAAAAGGCCAAAAGTCGGGTTGGGGGTGCAGCGGGGGTAAGGCAGGCTCCAAGCCCGCACTGGCTCTGCGCAGCTCCCGGAAGCGATCGGCATGTCCGGCTCCTAGGCCCAGGGGTGGCCAAGGGCTCTCTGCACACTTCCCCCACCCCGAGCACCGACTCCACAGCTCCCATTGGCTGTAAACCACAGCCAATGGGAGCTGCGGGGGTGGTGCCTGCAGGTAGGGGCAGTGCGTGGAGAGCCCCTAGTCCCCCCGGACCTAGGAGCCGGACATGCTGATTGCTTCCAGGAGCCAACCAAGATCAGCGCCGCGTGGCCAAAGCCTGCATCCTGAACCCTCTCCTGCACCCCAACCCTGGCCCCACCCCCCAGCCCAGAGCCCTCAACCCAACCCCCTGCCCCAGCCCTGAGCCTCCTCCCACACGCCGAACCCCTTGGTCCCACCCCCCAGCCCAGAGCTCACACCCTCTCCTGCATCCCAACCCCCTGCCCCAGCCCTGAGCCCCCTCCCACACTCCGAACCCCTTGGTCCCACCCCCCAGCCCAGAGTTCACACCCTCTCCTGCATCCCAACCCCTGCCCCAGCCCTGAGCCCCCTCCCACACTCCGAACCCCTTGGTCCCACCCCCCAGCCCAGAGCTCACACCCTCTCCTGCATCCCAACCCCCTGCCCCAGCCCTGAGCCCCCTCCCACACTCCGAACCCCTTGGTCCCACCCCCCCAGCCCAGAGCTCACACCCTCTCCTGCATCCCAACCCCCTGCCCCAGCCCTGAGCCCCCTCCCACACTCCGAACCCCTTGGTCCCACTCCCCAGCCCAGAGCCTGCACCCCCTCCTGCATCGAAACCCCAGCCTGATGAAAGTGAGTGAGGGTGGTGGAGAGCAAGTGACAGAGGGAGGGGGAATGGAGTGAGTGGGGGCATGGCCTTGGAGAAAGGGTGGGGCGGGGAGGCCACGGTGTTTGGGTTTGTGCGATGAGATAGTTGGCAACCCTATGGGGCTACGATCGGCTTCCTTGCTCGCCTGTCTCACCCTGCCCTCCTCTGCAAGCCCCTCCATTGCCTGCCCCTCTTCCACCACCACCCCAGACACAAACCTCTCATCCTAACCCCCAAAGCCCTCCAGGATACAGCACCCCCCACCCCCTTCTGCGCTGTCACACTGTCATAACACTGACCCCTGGCTTTGCTCCTCCAAGCACGGCAGCCTTGGACGACCACGTCCCCCACATCGACCTTGGGAGAGCGTGTGGGGCAGGGATCATCTCTTCCTGTGTTTGTACAGCGCCCAGCACAAGGAGCCCCAGTCCTGGCTGAGGACTTTGGGCACTACATTTGTACCAATACACACCGTGACTCCGAACAGAAACGAGGGATCAGTAACAACATGTCAGGTTCATCTTTTACTGCCCAGACACTGGTTTTTCCTTCCTTTCATTTTCCACTTTGTTGAACTTTCAGGCAAGTGTTAAATGGACCCTTAGCAGGGGATGGGTGTGGTGGGTGGACAGGAAAGATACCCCAGACCAAAGGGAGCTCATGGAGTGACAGGGTGCTCTCAGCTCCTGTGTGTCTGTCAGTCTGTTTCTCATCCTGCAGTTTCTCCTTCCAGATGCCTGCTAAGGACCTGATCTAACTTCTGTTACAGTCAATTGAAAGAGTCATGCTGATTTCTGTGGGCTTTGGATCAGGCCCTAAGGGAAGAGAGGCTGGAAAGGATTGTGGAGAGATGTGGCCTTCGGTGTCTATCACAAGAGTCACTAGGGAGGGACTCTGCACAAACAGGGGTGGAGGTGACTTCCAGGGGTGAAATGACGGTCAGTCTCCACCCTGTGCTCCTTGTGGGGTTGGAGACCATTTCCCCAAATCTCCAGCCATCTCAGAGACAATGCCCAACATGAGCCCACAAAACAGCTTTTAGTAGCCAAGAGGATATTTACAAAGCAGGAGTGGTGTCAGGGTTCCCTCCCCAATCTGAACTCTGGGGTACAGATGTGGGGACCCGCATGAAAGACTGCCTCATTTTATATTCCACCAGCTTAAATTAAAATATTCCCCAAGGCGCAAATTTCTTTCCTTGTCCTTGGACGGTATCGCTGCCACCACCAAAGTGATTTAAACAAACATTCAGGGAGGGGCCACTTGGAGCCCTATCCCCCCAAAATATCCCCCCAAGCCCCTTCACCCCCTTTCCTGGGGAGGCTTGAGAATAACATACTAACCAATTGGTTACAATGTGAGCACAGACCAAACTCCTAGTTTTTAGGACACTGAAAATCAATCAGGTTTTTAAAAGAAGAATTTTATTTAAAAAAAAAAGTAAAAGAATCACATCTGCAAAATCAGGATGAAAGGTAATTTTACGGGGTAGATAAAAAGATTTAAAACACAGAGGATTCCCCTCTGACTCTGCTTCCAAGTTACAAAACAGGAATTAAGTGACCTCTTAGCATAGGGAAAATTCACAAGCTAAAACAAAAGATAATCTAACACATTTCCTTGCCTTACTTACAATTTTTGTAATTTTAGATGCTCATTTTAGGTATGTTTGTAGGAGATGTTTTTCCTGCCTGGACCCTCTCTCTGTCCAAGAGGGAACAAACAAACAAAGAGAGCACAAACAAAACCTCCCCCCGTCCCTAGATTTGAAAATATCTTCTTTTCCCATTGGTCCTTCTGGTCAGGTGCCAACTAGGTTAATTGAACTGATTAACCCCTTACAGGTAAGGGGATTCTGTACCTCTGGCCAGGAGAGATTGTATGTTACTGCATACATAAGGATTGTTACCCTTCCCTTTATATTTATGACAAGTAGGGAACCCAACCAGCCCTAATGATCCACACTTGTGTGTCATGCCCAAGAAACTTGACTATCAAGAACATTATTTAGCAAATTGTGAAAGATGTGAAGTGAGTTTAGGAATCTCTGTGGAGTATGGGAGGAATTCTAGAGAGACTGCACCATGGCAGGTGTGAACTGGGTGCCTGGGACAGCCCTCACTGAAAATGCCAAGGTCAGGGCAGGCTGTAAAAGGGAGAGAAGATTCTTCCAAAACTAGTAGTTAACCTGAAGTTAGATTTACCGACCATTCACAAACTGTGCTCCTGATCCCCACACTGGTTTTCAGGAAGCTGAAAAAAAAAATCACACAGCCCCCTTTATTGCATTCCAGTTCTCTGGCTCCCAGTCTGCACCTAGGTTCAGTACAATGAGAAGTTATTTAAAAACTCTGTTCACTATACAACATGTTCTTCTGAACCCCAAAGAGCCAACCACCTTGCCAGGCCAATATTAGTTTGGATCTTACCCAAAATACCATGTTGCCAGCCAATCCTTTAATGTCTAGTACTAAAGTTTATTATAAAGAAAACAGAAAGAACAAGAAGAGAGTTATTAAATGGTAAAGCAATCAGATACATACGGAGACTTCAAAGTCCATATATGAGGTTTTTAGCAGTATTGGTTGGTTGCTGGCTTGAAAGTCCCTCTGGACAACATCCGCAGCTTGGATGGGTCATTCAGTCCTTTGTTCAGAGCTTCAGTTTGTAGAAAAGTCACTCCAGAGGTAAGAAGCAGGAATGAAGACAAAATAGAGAAGATGCAGCTGCCCTTTATATTCCTTTTGCCATCTGGCTTGTACTTCCTGTGTCCCAAACACAAGCTTCACAGCACATGAGCATGGAACAGCCTTCGAGTTCTCTGTCCACAGGCAAGCCCCTACATGTCTTGCTGACTCTTATGGAAAGGAGCCAGTGGATACACCTTGGGTTCATTGTACCACTGATGACCGTTGATGGGCCATCGAACAGGCTAGGCAGTGCAGATGCCAATCTGTCTGGGGGTGTCACCCAGAAACACAGCACAAGTTTGGAAATACAGATAAACCCTACATATCTCTAAATCACAATACAAAGGTGACACAAACATATAAACAAGATTATCCTACTTGGCAAATTATAACATTGTCACAGGTACCTCGCACGGCATATCAGGTCTGATTCCTTGCAATTTTATAATGTTGGTATCAACAATATCATGAAGTGTCCCACATATTCCATACAGTGTCACAGCAGGTGAATGGGCAGCATGGTGGCTCGTGCAATTCAATGTTGGCAAATGTAAAGTAGTGGGAGTACTCCTACTGGCTGAAAATAACTGTAAGCTCTCAGGAAAAAGACCCATGTGTCACCTGGGTGCATTCAAACAAATTGCATTTGAATACAGCCAACTCAAAGTTCTACATCTAGAAAGAGGGAATGCAGGCCACACCTAAAGAATGGGAATCCGTCTCCTGGAAAGCAGGGACTCAGAAGAGGATGTAGGGGTCATAGTGGACAAGCAAGCCAGCATGAGCTCCTGGTGTGAACCAAAATGGCTCAAGGGCTGGAGCAAATGCCTTAGAGTGGGAGACTTTAAAAGAGCTGAATCCATTTAGCTTATCGAAAAGATTGAGAGGCGACTTGATTATGTAGCACTCACAAGGGAATGTCAGGGTTCAGTTACCTGTGCCCTGCCCCTTTAATTTGGAGAACACAGTCGTGCCATCAGGATTATTGTTGTTGTGTCCCAAAGAGACTGAGCTGGTATGAGGCTTATGCTGGCTGCAGACTGAGCTGGTGTGAGGCTTGTGCTGGCTGCACTAGATATTTCAAGTTTAAGAAAAGCTCAGTTTTAAACCCATGATCCCTGGATGGGAGTGTGACACTCGGTGAGCACAGGCGGGAAAGACTGAACTGCAG